AGGGTACGGCTACAATCCGCACAATGTAGTCATGCTTGAATTGTAGCTAGGGGCCTCTGGGACTCTGCGTCTCTAGGGAGACCCGATATATACATATACATAGACCCTAGGGTACGGGCCAAATCCGCGCAATTAAATCGTGATTTAATTGTGACTAGGGGGCTCTGGCTATCTCGTGGATAGTAGGACAATTAAAACACGATTTCAAAGAATTCTGTTTCCCTAATACACCAGATATTTTAAATCCTGATTTAATTGCCCCAAAGGTAGGTTGATCAAGGTACCCAAGGAGAACTTTTAAATCATGATTTAAGATTCAATAACTTCTGGATCCATTGCTTTTCGGCCAACCCTTGGGCCTGTAGAGGCCAGAAAGGTAGCCGCCTGAGGACTCTGAAGCGAGGGGTTGAACCGGCCAGAGTTGACCTCCGTGCGTATGTCCTCCGAAGGCGCCAGCACCATCTGAATAGACTCACTCACGAAGAAACAAATGAGCAGAACGGGATGCCCAAAACGGGATCCCCGAAACGGGATCCCAGATTTTGAAAATCTCGCATTTTGAAAAATTGTCTTTGAATAGCGTACTTTGGCGGCTAAATGGATACAATCTAACCTGTATGTTTGCACAAGAGCACAACTTCTACCTAACTTCTTCTGGAAGGGGATCTCTCATTAGATCAGCAAGAAAACGCTTCAACAATCGGGCCGATTCAACGTTTGCTCTTGGTAGAGAGAGAGAAGGAGCGTGCTGAACCCACCAACCCATCCACCCCGCCAGCCCAACCTCCTCGACAAGGTTGAAGTGCATGACAGGACGAGGCTGTGCAGGCTTAATCTTATTTGGACACATCCTGAATCTATCAGCTGTCCAGAGAGTTGGAGCTGCACGTTGCTCTCAGCTGCGGCTGCAGCATGGGGCCACGGGCGATGAGCCACCAACACGGTGGGCAACGCCGACTGGCGCCCGTCCCTGAGTGATGCCACTGAAATGCCCTTCATTACGCTACTCCGTTAATTTGCATGGCCGCCCTTAGAGCTGTACAAACTGCAGATCAAACCAGCCAAGGTGCAATGCCTTTTTCAAGTCAGGTGCCCCCAGGATATCGTCCACACCTGCTCAAACTTTCAAGCAGCTACTGTACTTGTTGTCTGAAAGCATCACGTCTATGCGAGGAGTAAGTGACTCACATGCAAACAGATATCAACGCCTCATCAGCTGCCCTATAGTATCCCTATAGGGGATTGGTCATTAAACCCTGATGGCAACGGCTTGCAAATCGCCTACAAATTAGAAGCTCCGGTGCTTTTGATTGCTGTCTTGTTTCTCAGAAGCAAAAAACTGTCGTGCCTGCTAGGGTGATCAGCTTCTCTCCTTCCAAAGGAAGTTCGACATGCCTGTGTTGTGTCCAAGGGAGCATGCAACCTGAAGAGTTTCTTCCAAGTCTTTTGTCAAAGCGGCGAGTTGTTCAGCGACGTGAAGCCTTGCCGCTGCCAGTACTCGGTCCAGGCCTCCGCCTGCACACGGGGAAAAAGAATGTCATTAGGTGCGCATCATTCATACATACACACAGAGAGACAGGCAGACATACAGACATGCATACATGCCTGCAGGTAAACATACAAGCAAACAAGCAAACAAACATGCATGCATACATGTGTATATATATATACATACATACACATCTATTGATACATCTATTTTGGGCTCATCTCGCCTCTGCACGCTGCCCTTTCCCCTTGTAATTGTAGTACTCATGGTTGCCTCATGCTGGCGATGCTGCAGACAGCAGACAGGTTGCGATATTTTCCAGCACGTCTGATAGAATCGGTATGGCAGCCCAGCCAATGCAGGCACAGGCGCAAAGACGGTTCCTAATCAATCTAAGCTGCCAGGAACGTAGTACGCACCATCAGGGGCCGCAGCCGCAAGCCGCACCAAGGCCTCCATGTTGTGCTCGCGGAGCTGCACAGATCCTGCAGAGAAGGCTGCATGGCTGTCACTGGTGGTCTTGGTGGTCGACATGAGAAATCCAAAGCTTTAGAGTGGAATAGAAGCAACGGAAAGAAAGGCCTTCCGCGATGTCGCCATTGAGAAGAATGGCATTGCAGTTCCTGTCGCTTCATTTTGCATTGAAAGGCCCTGTGTCTGCCATCCGCTTGCCGTTTTGCCGAGCAGCAGTCGTGAGACACCCTCGGCCAAGAACCTGCAAGTCACAGCAGAGTCTTGTCCCAGGCTGCTTGCAGGACGGCCACGTCGTGACCTCAACTTGTCCGTGCCATAGATGGGTCCGGCATGCAGGTCGCTCAGCTGGCAGAGGCTGTACCCTGCCGCGCGTGACATCTCAAACAACGCGAGGGCTATGCCACAGTCATAAGAGAACCCTTCCCATCTTCCTTCTGCAGCAGCTGGAAGTCCTGGCACCTGCTGAGACTCAATGCCCAACACCCTGAATCTGGAGGCATGTCACGCAAGTATCTGCTTTGCAGCGCTGGAGCCATGTGTGCGAAAACCCTGCCCACAAACTGGCCAACGGCCATTTTAGACAGCACATGCGAATTGATTGTGGACCACAGCTGCCGCAGCTAGACAGAGCTGCTTTGATTCAACCTCAACAGCAAAACTTTGATGCTGCACCTCCAGATGCAGCCTTTCCACGTGGGGACCTCCCAGGGAAGCTGGACCACAGGTCACAAGCTATCATTGAAAGGTGCCGTCCTTCAAACAGGCTCAGGAAGCCCACAGCACTCACCAAGCAGAGGGTGAAGCGATTGAGCACACGCTCATATTGCCAGCCCGCCTGCGCTTATGGAGAATGAAACCCCAAACGATCAGGAAGCAACGTCATGTTCTGAGACCACAAATGAGACACGGAGCGGCCAAGCCTTTAAATGGAATGAATCCAGCGCGACCGCAAAAAGTCTGATGTTTATGAAGTTGAAAGTTGCGACCTGGACTGCCAACTGCAGCTAAGAACAAGTGGCAAGAGCAAGAAATATGACCATTGCAAATGGGCTTGGAATGTTGCAGGCACGACAAAGAAGAGATAGAACAGAAACTACCAAAAAGGTGGTTACTTGGGGAATCAGATCATGAAACATAGTAAAACATCTGCAGCTTTGCGCTTTCCCAACAAGCTGGACTTTGCTGAGGGACAGCATAAAGAGCTGCCAAATAAGTTCCGCATTCCAGCATCCACGTGTCCTAGAGCTGGGGAAGGCCGCATAGGCAACCGTTACCGCATCCGAGAAGATTCTGGTTAGTCAAGCTTTACACACAAGAGAAATCGCAGCTCCTCTCCACCTCTGGCTATGAGGACGCAAAAGACTGCAAAGCCACCTGTACCCGCCAGCAGGACCTGAGTTTCTAAGAGGTTGGCGGGAATAGTCCGCAGCAGCTTTGCCCGGAGGAAGTTCGTCCAATGATGCGTGCCACATCCATGGCTTTACTACGACACTCACATGCGCTTCTGGGATCCACTGAACTTTCAACGAAGATTCACAGAGCATCTTGCAGGCACCATTAGCAAGTTAGAGTGATGTTTGCATACTTCGAAGTGAATGCGAGATCCATCTTTGCAGCGACTACATGCCTTCCACAACATGCCGACAAGGCTCCGTGGCGATTGAATCTTGGATCTCCCATGGACGCTCCGCGCGAGACGTCCACCAAAATGCCAGAGACCACGGGATCAACAGCACGCTGCCTGAGCTTGGCTGGTGAGTGAAGAGCTCCAGTGGGTGAGACACTTCATGCATGTAAAACAAACTCGTGATCTGTCGACCTAAGGATGCTGAGGGACAAAGGCCCATGACTGCCCCGAGGACTTTATCGCTCGGTGGGTCGATAAGTTGTAGCTTGGCTGGCTTGTCCGGGAGGAGGGAATTCTGCAGGTTTACCAGCGCAGCCACCTGAGCAAGGTGACATCTGTAGCGCCACAATGTCAAAAAACGTCGCAAGTTTAAGAAGCAAGGCGACCAGAAGTCCCAGCCAAACAGTCGCCGCCGCAGTTGCACGACGGATTCCCCGTTGCACCAGCAAAGCAGCGACTAGCCTTTTGGCGCGCCTATACCTGGCTCAAGATTTGCAAAGGTAATAGGGTTGAATCTTAGTGATGACATTGTAGCAACATTGTAGTATTCCGTCCAGGCTGCGCCCAGCGAACCATTTTGGCCTCACTGCCGCGTAGCAGCGGTCGTGACAACGGGTCTGCTGAAGCTCGATGCGTGCCCGCTCGAAGCATGCACTAGAGTGCCACCTCACAGAGTATATGACACCTGGTTGTCCTGTCATCCTGTCATCTTGTTGCGGGTTTCATAAGCTGCTCCTACCGTATGTAGGACCTTGTGGATGGCAATTCCCACATGTAAATGAGTGCACATGATTGCAGAGTCTTGTCAGGTCCAAGTGTGAGCCATGCTACGGCTGCAAGGGGTTCGAGCATGTCTGAATGATAAAGCTCTTTTGTTTCGGGAGTTGAGCAGCTCGACCTTTGTGTGCATGGGGCTGGATTGGCTCGCAGGAGTGAGGGTTCACGACATAGGGCTTGGGCTTCCGTCGTGAGAGTTTGGCGTACTGGCAAGCTTTGATGAGGCACTCACCCCCGAAAAAGAACCCACAAATTACCATCAAGCTGCAATGTGTCCCAGCAGCATGATTTGGTGATCTAGAGTTTGGGCTTGCAAATGCTTGAGGTTGTATGACCCCAGAGATCAAGCAAATCTTCGGAAAAATGTAGCTGAAAATGAACATTGCAACAGAAGCAAGCAGTCCACCATGCAGTCGTGAACCAGCAAAGCCGATTGGAAGCTTGTCAGCTTGTCCGGCCTTCACTGGTCTTGAACCGACGGACGAGGCTTGAACCTGGCTGGGGCGTACGTTCGGTGCGTCAGGTTGCACAGCCAGGCACCTTGGCAGCGCAGCTCTTTGCCTTCTCGTTGCTGGCAGGTTCGGCAGATGCCTTCCAGAGTAGACCGACCAATGTCGCACTTCTCATGTACAATTCCTCTTCTTTGGAGCATGTCCTTCTGCAGTGTCATAAACTCCAGCAGCGCATCCTCGAGACTTGAGGTTTCTACTTTACATGCATTTTTCTGCAGTAGTCCATGTTGTCTTTGCTTCCGAGGCCATGGCACGGCTGGCCGCTGGAAGGGCAGCAATGGCTTCATGCCGAGAGACTCGTCCCATCCTCTGCGCATAAATGTATATATACATATATAATATACTTCTGTTTACTGATTTCTGTATATGAATGTTTTTTTTCTATGGACACACCTCCCCCCTCAGAACCCACCGGCACCCAGCATTCTTTTTGCTGCTCCTGGGGATCCTACTACC